TTTATTTTTTTTAAAAGTAATATAAGTAAATATGTAAATTATATTTAAATTATTAGAATCCATTTAAAATGGTTATGATTTTTAATTTTTGGTTTTAATTTTCAAATTTTAAATAATCAAAATTAACAATTTAAAATTTAAATTAAAAATTAAAATTACTAACTTGTTGAGCATAAAATTTTAAAATAAATATCCAAAATTTCAAATTTAATTAATTATAGAATTTCTTAATTTTATTTTAGAGTTTTTAATTAAATTTTTGAAAACTAAAGTAAAAAATTCATAGTTACAACTATACCAAATTGTGCTTTAATGAAAAAAAAAAGTAACAATTATTTTAAAACAATGATTACTAAATAGCACTAGTTTTCAAAATTGAATGTATAATAAAATTCATATTTTACAAATCAGATTATATATTTAAAATACAGTTCAGGTGGCTAAAATTATTAAATTATTATTAATAAAATAACATAAAAATATATTTATTAAAAATATTTTAGTAAATTCAAATATTCTTACCATGCTCCTTCGTTTGTAAAATATTTTTTCCGTATATAATTATCCTACAATGCGTAACAAAAATTGGCAGCTATATAAATGCTCAGTATCCTCCACATAGAAGAGGTACCACAGAAACATTTGCTAAGAAAATCAGAAAGCTCCAAAAACAGAGGAGAGAAAATGGGGAGGAGTCCTTGCTGCTCTAAGGAAGGCTTGAACAGAGGAGCCTGGACTGCCCATGAAGATCAAATTCTCACCGACTACATTAAAGCCCACGGCGAAGGAAGATGGAAAAATCTCCCCAAACGGGCAGGTAATTTCACTAAAAACAAAATTGATGGATTTTTTTGCTCTGATTTGCTCGATCCCGAAAATTCAAGAAAAGATGAACAAGAAATGATTGACTATTAGTTTGCTAATTAATATATATTCTGTCTGCATAGGTTTAAAGAGATGTGGCAAAAGTTGTCGTCTTAGGTGGCTAAATTACCTCCGACCAGACATTAAAAGAGGAAACATATCTCCGGACGAGGAAGAACTCATCATCAGACTTCACAAGCTGTTGGGAAACAGGTTTCGATCTTTGTCTTTCGAGCTTTCATAGACATGTCAATGGATGTGTTAGATGATTTTTGATTTTTTATTTTCAAGATCGATTTGATCACTTACTTAGCCAGCCATTGCAGGTGGTCTTTGATTGCTGGGAGGCTTCCGGGACGAACAGATAATGAAATAAAGAATTACTGGAACACAAACTTGTGCAAAAGGTTAGGAGATCATAAATCCCCTGCTTCATCTGGTAAGCAAAATTGGAAGAAGAACGAGATTAAACCACCGTCAACCACCGTGTCGGAAGGGCAAGTAAAGAGGGACGAGTCGCAGGTGGTCCGAACCAGGGCAATTCGGTGCACTAAAGTTTTCATAAATCCAGAACAACCGCCGCCAGTCAAAGACGAACCCATTTCAGACATGAATAACAGAGAAACTGCAGGGCCCTCCATTAATGGGACGGTGAGGTCCAATACGAGCACTGATGGGTTGTCGTCGTCATTCCCCGGAGAAGACAACAATACTTTGGATTTCTTGTTAGACTTCAATGTCGGGGAGTTTTGCCTGTCGGATCTTCTGAATACCGATTCCTCGGATTTTGGTAACCTTAGTTATAGCATTAGAAACGATAACGGTAACGACTTGTCACCGTCATCGGAGCAGCCTGCGATTTTCTCGGATGAAATGTTCCAAGATTGGGCCAACGGCGACGGCGTCCAGACAAATGAGGGTTTAAGTCTCCATTCGTTTTCTCCATTTCTCCAGTACGGAGGAGACTGGGTGGAGAATAACTGAGCTAATAGCGTGTATAGCAATAACGACAAAATACGGCTAAGTTTTAAAAAATATAAATTGTGGTCCTTTTGTAGTTAAGAATAATAATGGAATTTGGGATGGCTGTATCATATGATAATGTTTGTATTGAGCTAAACAAATTGTAATAGCTGTTGAGGAGAATCTCATAGAGAGGGAAGAGCATAATGTTTTAATGGGAACTTGGAATGATTTTGTTAATAAATCAGGGAAATAATTGAGAAGATCACATGATGGTCATAAGTGAGAAAATAATGCTGCAAAATAAGACCATGCACAACCGAAAGTTCACTTACATCTTCTCTTAAGAGATAAAAATAGAATAGGAACAGAATTTTTTCGAAAATAGAGTCGTTCTTGTCCTTTATTTATTTATTTTTGTCAGAAGAGATGCCCTTTTCGTCCTTTATGGACAGGAGCAGTGCTAGAGGCACTCGCGTCCTGCACTCTCCGGCCAACACTCCCCCTTTCATTGGGCCACGTAAGGTTGCTTGAGCTCTGAAGTGGAGCCTCTTGCTGAACTAAAATAACGTGGCCCAATGAAAGGAGGAGTGTTGGCCGGAGAGTGCAGGAGGCGAGTGCCCCTAGCACTGCCCTTATGGACAATTTCCTTTTAGATCTAACATGAAGAGCTGCATGCTCTACTGTTGACCAAACAGCCCTCCGACGATAGTGATACGTTGGAGATTTATTTTTTTATAAATTAAATAAAATAATATTTATTTAACTTTTGAAAAAGATTTATTTAGGTGCATGCATTGAAGATGGAGTGTTTTGATATATTTTATTTGAATATTAAATATATAAAAATAATATTAATTATGATAATATTATATTAATATAGCCAAACAAAATTATTTTTTTAAATATATTAAGTTGATATAAGAGTTTCGCTTTAAGATCATTTAAAAAAAGATTAATTTTAAAATATACAAAAATTAACTTAAAAATACTCTAAAAATAAATATCAAATAAAAAAATGACGCTAACATAACACTAAAATGAACTTTGTCATTGTACTTGTTTGGAAGAGATTAGTATATACTTGACAACAACCATATCTAGGGCCAGAGCCAGAAAATAATTTTAGGGGATGTGTTATTTGAAATGTGTATGTTAAAAATGAATTTCTTGATTTGTAATTTATAAATAAGATTAACACTTAAATGTACAAAAATTAAAATTTTAAAGACTCTAAATGTAAAAAAAAAAAAAAATTAATTTTATGTGTATTTAAATTTTAATATAAAACACAACTTCTATCACAAAATATTACTTAATATGATCCAAATAGGAAAATTAAATGTTCTAAAAAATTGATAATATCAATTTCAAGTCAATTTTATTTTGTTGCTTAGTACAAACAATCATTAACTATGTATATATTGTAATGACAAGCATGTCAAATAAATAAAAATATTTATTAAATTTATTTTACTTGTCAAGTGGTTAGCAATTTATCATAAAATTTATAAAAAATAAAAAATAAAAGTTAGAACACACCATTTTATTTTTTTAAAAAAGAGTTTATTTGATTTTTTTTTAAGTATAGGACCTATTTAATTTTTTTCCAAAAGTCTAGGGGGGCGAGCGCCCCCCTTGCACCCGCCTAGCTCCGTCCCTGACCATAACTATCACCTTAATTCAAAGGGATAGCTATTGCTATTCGAGGTTCACCATAGCAAAAGGAATTTCCTCGCATCTACCATTCATTTTGGTTTAGAAAATTTATCTTCTCTCAAACTGATGTAGAAACCCTTTTTCTTTTAGAACATTTCAAAATGTTTCATCCGTGAAGGTTTCTTAAGTTTTTCTAATGAAATTCCACACGTTAGAGCCTATGTGGGATCATGTAAATGCCATGCCACATTCTTCCAAAACTAACATCCTGATATCTAGTAACTACATTGGATTCTAACTAATCCAAAATTAAGTCGTGTCAGACTTCATTTGGGAAGAAGCTCTCTTAGCGCTTATTTCTCCATTTACATGGCTCGAACTCGAGATTTTACTTAAGGGGAACCGAACTCCTTCTACTTGAATCAACAAGTCGCTGGTAAATATATATATATATATATATATTTTTTTTAAATAGGAGAGGCGATGATTAGAAAATTAAAAAGGACATTATCAATTGCTTAAAAGGAAAAGAAGGTCAAGAAAACAAAAACTTTGATGTTAATTGAAGGTTAAATATAATTTTGTTGGGCAACGTGGTGTCTGTGTGATGTCACTCATGTG